AAAAAAAAAAACAAAAAGGAAAAAATCCAACACCCTTTCACACAGCTGTTACAAAAAACTAGTAACCTTCCAAACCTTCAGAGAGGGATTGTCTAACCCTACATGTCTTTAAACAATGAAGGAGGAAGGGAAAGAGCTGAAAGATGGAAAGGACGCAACTGCGAAGTAATTGCTAAAGAGAGCACACAGGTTGTGAGTTTACATAAAGATTACAGTAATACAATAATATTTCTTATGTCAACATCCCATGAAAACTAGTCTTTGACTATAGAAAAGGCTCATACCTCACCTTCCAATATGTTGTTCAATATTAAAAAAAAAAATCACTATTTATCCCAAATCATCACACTTGAATGAAAAGAAGGGACTTAAAAACCAAGCTATTTCCCTGTTGTTGCTTTAACAGCCCATCATACTGTGTTCTATCTCATCACAAAAAAAAAAACCCAAAACCAAACCACAACCCCAAATCTAAACCAATACCACCCTGGTTAAACTATGTATCACACTAATTTAGGACAGAAGCTTCTTTGCTGCAGCAAAGAAAAAATAAATAAAGAAAGAAAGAAAGAAAGAAACAAACCCAGACCAAACACACACACACACAAAAAGCACCAAAAAATATGATAAAAGCTTTAGTTTTTCCTACTTCTTGACCTGAGTGCTTTAAGTTCTAGATTTCATTTGAAAGCTACCATTAGGCCACAGAAACTACTTAATCTTTTCATTAATTGGTTGAAATGAAACAATTACATAGTTGTAAATTGACCAATACTGAGAATGCCAATAACAAACACAAAATACATAACCAAAGATGTGCAGAAAACAAGACACATAGGCCATATAAGAACTCTTTATTTGTGAAGTCTATTTTGAAAGTATACACTACAACAGGTAACATTATGTAAATTACATTAACTCATGTTGATACTACTAAAATACAAAGATCATCCCTGCTTCAGGAAAATATGTCAGTAATGACGAGTTAAACACTGCTCTATATGGTGCAAAATTCCTCACTAAACTATCTATAATATTCTTTTCTATATAAAACTAAGCCAATATACATATATCATCATGTTATTTACATATGGCTGATTATTTTAAGTGTTCATTACAGGGGCAACCTCATAGCAAAACATGCTCACTTTGAAGATGAAACTCTCACAAAATTAAAAGCAAGCTGAAAAAAGCCAGGATATACAAACTCCCCTGTAAATATTCTTCACCGTGAATGGCAATAAAATGCAGCAAGCTGTTGGGAAATACAACATGTACATTCTTCAACTCAAACTTTCCCAGAGGAAAAAAAAATTCTCTCAGAAGTTAATGTATTTAGGATTCTAAAAACTTAAAGAAAACAAATTAAAAAAAAAAAAAAAAGGAGAATAAAACAGAAAGACCAGCAGACTCAAAGGCTATTTCCTTTGTAATACCTAATTTTGAAAGTATTTGATAGGATATTCTACTTTAGTGGATGGACAATTTTAAATAAACATAAAATTCTCTTGCCCTTCTGTATTTTCCAAGGCCCTATTATAAGTCTTAGTGATGTAAAAATGCTTATTGAAGAAGACCCCCTCTGCACTAACCACCTGTGACACTGGCTGTTCTGCAAACACAGATCCTTTCTCTGGACATTTACTGTCTCAGTATAAAATAAGCCATAGTAAGGGGAAGCAGTAGATAGAGAGGCTGCAGACAAAGTAACAGAAAAATAGCAAACATTACTCTAAGTTCATCACCTGTCTAGCCTTCTGCTGTTCTATACTTTGCCTCCCCCATTATCACTGAGAATGCTGTACCTGTTACAATTTTGCCTTATACAGATGTCATGAATGAGTGGTTTGGCTGCTTAAAGAAACACTGTCAAAGGTACTGGCAAAAGTAGGGTTTAATATGGATACGTGAAGATGCAATTTTGCAGAGTTCAATGGCAAGGTTCACCCTACTACTTACTACACAGACTAAAGCATGCAAAGGAAGATCAAATAAGAAGCAATTTGGAATAATTTACACAAAAGCTGTGAGTTCAAAAGCACTGGAGTGGAAAGATAAGGGCCAAGAAGGATTTACAAGCACTTAATACTTGAGTACTTAAACATTTAACAAAGTGATTTGATAGTTTTCACAACAACTACAACAATGACTTAACTGTGGATTCAAAATATTAACATTTGTACCACAATCAAATCACATACACATGTAAATGATGTATACACCTATTTCTACGTATGTAAAGGCTCATATGAAAAATTCCCTTCAAATTCACTACAGTATGTCAAATCTCTTTGCATTTCCCAACAGGCAATGGTAGGATCTTGAGGAACATGGAGATGGGGGACAGGGGCTGACAGTCCTTGAGTACCACAAACTTAAGGGTTCGCGAGCCATGGGAGGCTTTGGCACAGGCTGCTGCGGTCCAGGCAAGCCCATCACTTGGACTGTTGTTTATAGGGTCAGAAGTTGACCGATTTTGGCCATCAGTAGCCTTCATTCCTGACCATAAATCAAGTCAGTAACTAGTAAGCTTTTTTCCTCAAAGTGCAGTAACAATGGTACCGTTCCACTCGGGCTACATCCAGGTAAATGGTTTACCAAGGCTACAAGAGGTAATTGTTTATCCTTTGTTTCCCACCTTTACCACGCCAGAGCTCCTGGTACCATCAGGGAGTGCCTTGCAGCCCAACTGCTACAGTCAAGGGACGCTTCACCGCTCAGATGGTTTGGTCACGGCTCACCAGGAGCTTCTAAGAAGGCAGAGTAGTCACAAGGATGGGGGGTGTTACACCACAAGAAGTAAAAGAGTTATTGTTATGTAACAGTACAAATGTTTAGAAAACTCTGAGATGCTTAGTTTAGATACTTCATTTTACTTATTCTCAATCAGTTCTTACATTTGATTGCTCTGGAGAACCCCTATGGAATAAATTCCTCAATATCTGTTAAAGCTGCAAGGTACTAGGAACATAAAGTACCAAAGCAGATACAAATCCAACTGTATAAAAACTGTCAGCACCTTGCCTGTTGGTCTTGTACCTAATGGACAGCACTCAAATTTCTTAAAATACACAAAAGAATTTATTTTGTTCTGAACAAAACTTTTTTCTCTGCAAAACCAGTCTCCACAGTGAATAATAACTAGAATGCCCCTGCCCAGTATTTGCACAAACACAGGCTTCCTAGTAGCAACATAATATCTTGGGGATAGTTGATAAAGTCTTCCAGACTTCACTCCCCCCAGTATGTAAGCCATTAATGTCCTCCCAAGGATGCATACCTGCTCTTAAAGTGAAACACTGCATTACTAAAAGTGCTGTGCTCATGCTCTTGAAAAGCAAAACAGACACACATGTATAGTGGGCCATAAAGACAACATGTAAGGAAATTCTGGAAAGTACATTCATATCATGGGTGCTTGAAAAGCTTTCTTTGCTTAACATTATAGGTGTAGCATGACAGCTCATGCCAAATTACTGAAAGGTCTCAAAGGACCACCCCCCCACCCCCCAGAAACAAGACAGGACAGCTTCTAACACATAAGCACTACGGAGAACAGTCTCTACACTGCAAAGTCTAACTCTACTAAACTTAGCAATGATAAATAGAATCACCATTAATGCAAAAGACGCTTTAAACTTTCAGTACAATAATACATGTTTTTACACTTTTAGTAGGCTGTATATGCAGCAGATCGCTTTAAGTGTATCAGATACCCTGAGAACTCCAGTAAGCATTCTAACACAAGCGCTCTAACATCAGCAGCCGTGTCAGTGTAGACCTAGAATCCACAAAAGGCATTTTTAAGCAAAAATTACAACGCCCCAAGGAGAAAACGAGAACAGCACTACATGAAAGCTAAATTCTGCAGTTTTCTGAGACACCATTCTTGAGCGACTCTGCCCAGCAGGGATGGCTGGAACTTCACGGCACACAAACAGACGCGGTGCTTACACCGCGGCCGAAGCGGCTGGCGGGCGCCTGTCTACCTCGTGTCCTGTTCCTAGGGGGGGAAACGCTTTTTAGGATTTCCCGGGCTTTCCGGTCCCGGCACCCGTCTCGGGAGCCCGCACCCGAGGCGGTCCGCGCTCCTGGGCTCGCACCCTGAGGAGGGCGATGGGCTCTCCACGCAGGGGCTGCCCGGGCCATCTTGGGTCGGGCTGGCAGCGGCCACATGGTCAGCGCCGCCTCCGCGGGCCCGGCTCCCGCGGCCCCGCCAGGTGGGCGCGGGCGCTCAGCCCCGGCGGGTCCCGCCGGCCCGGCCCGGCCCGCGCCGCGCGCAGCGCCGGGGCGTTCCAGGCGCGCCCGGCGCCGCGCCCGGCGCCCCTCCTCGGGCAGGGGGCGGTGGGGTCTGCCGGGCGGCCCGGGACAGCACCGAACCCCTAGCCACCGGCGACCTCCGACCACCGGGCCGTCCAAGCCCCCTGCGGGGCCCCGCAGACAATAGAGCCGGCACCGCGGGCCTGGCTCCCGGCTTCCTGCACTGCCCCGCCGCCACACGCCCCCTCCCCGGCCTAGCGGCGCTGTCCCGCGGGCGCTCCCGGGAGGGACAGGGCGCCGCCGGGCCCGGGACGCGGGTCCCCGGCCGCGCAAGGCACCGAGGCCGCTGAGGCCAAACGCGGCGGCGGCGGGCACGGGAGGGGGAGGGGGGGTGCGGAGCCAGAGCGCCGTACCGCCCTGCCCGGCGCTCTCCCGGTGCCGGAACGTTGCTACTCACCTCCCCAGGCGGCCGCCGCGGGGGAAACCGGAGGTCGCCGCTGCCGCCGCCCGGCCGGGCCCGAAGGAGTTAAGAGGAAGGGCCGGGCGGGCCCGTCCCATTCATTACCCGGCGCTTTGTCTCCGCCGCCGCCGCGGCGCTCGGCAGCTGCCCCGGCTCGGCCGCCGCGGGCGCGGGGCGCAGGCGCGGGGGGCGGCGCCACGCACGGCGCGCGACATGTCAGCGCGCCGGGCCGCAAAATGGCGGCGCGGGGCTGCGGGGCTCGGGGCTGCGGGCTCCTTTCGCACCCGCGTCCGGCCGTGCCTGGGCGGGCCGGGCCCCGGCGCCGTCCTTCTCCGCAAGGGTGCGGCCGCTGGTCGCCGCACTGCGCCGCGTTCCTGGGGCGGCTGAAGCTGGTGGCTCTGAGGGCGACGGGCCGGGGTCGAGGCGGTTCCTGTGGTGCTTCAGGCCTGGGGGTACCTCAGGGCCTCTGCCGCGCCTTCCCCGGGAGGCCGCGGCGGGCGCTTCGCATTCCCCATGGGCTGGCCGCGGAGAGGCTTTGAAGTGCATCACTCCGCTGGAGCGGGCATGGACACGCTGTTCCGAGCGCAGCCCTAGTCTTGTCAGGAATTCAGTCTCCATTGTTCGTATCCGCAATTGAACCCACCTTGATGGGTGTACGTGGTCTAACGCACAGCGGGTTTGGTTCTGAGCACTGTTCTGATGTACTGAGTCTGCCTCGGGAGGGACCCTTGAGAGGCTCTCGAGTCTCACCTGAGCAGGCATCCTAGGGAAGGATGTTCAGGGCAGAAGGGAACGCACTGCGCCGGTTCAGGGAAACAGTGTCCAAATATATGCTTAAGGTCGTGTTCTGGTTAAAGCTTCTCCAGTTCCGGTGCTCGCTTGCAAAACATTAGTTAAGGTTATCAATGGGCCGAGTGATCCAGGCTTTTCAGGTGGGGTAAGGGTGGAGAAGGGTGGTTTGTTGGGTCCTTTTGATGTATGTCATTTCTCCGGAGAGCTGAGTGACGTACAATCTACTGTGATTGTGACATTTGTTGTCAAATTCCCAGTGGCAGTCATAGATTTCACTTTCTTTGTCTTAAGTATTGGTCGTCAAACTCGCCGTTTACCTTTGGGAATGAAAACAGGAGAAAATGCATAAGAATTCTGTAAACAGTACTGGTTTGGAAACAGTGTTAAATTTTAGATTAAGACGGTATTTAGAGAGACAGTGCTTAAGCAAGTAATTGCTTTTTGATCTGAGTTATTTTCATCAGTTAATTTTTTTTTTTCCTTTGTAATTTGAACAGATTTAGCAAAGAGTGTTTTGGTTGGAATATATGGCAGTATATGAAGAGATCAGCTGATAACTTTTTGATTTGAAATAGTGGAGCTCTTCACCATTCTTTCATATTAGGTGTGTGTTTGTACTTAAGTACTGGTGTGATTTTCTAAATGGATTCTGCCAGTCAACATACAGTAAATGGTCTGTTTTGGTTAATACTTCTTTGGAAATCTTATGCCAAGCTTTTTTCTTTATTTTATCCATACACTACTCAAACTCCCAAAAAAATAGTTGTTATGCTGTGTGCAGGCAATCCTTTGTTCCTTATTACTTTTTAATCTACAGTTTATTTTTATTGGTAGAGTTCAACTGTATCAGTGTGTATATATATATGAATATACAGACAATATTGTATATATAGTATATGTATTAGTTACTGTTGGTGGCTGAGGCCAGAGTGGTTTGAAGTGAAGTTACTTGGACTTGCTGAGTTTCCACTGTTACAAAGTACAGTTATATGAATAGAACTGCTTAAAAATGAAGTTTGATCTTGGCTAGATCTGCCAGCTAGACACAGTAATAGAGGTGTGAGAGCTTAGTTAACAAGTCTCTATCACCAGTCTGTTGACAGGAAATTAGAAACAACTGTTATTACTAGTATTGAAATATATCACCTCATAAAACATCTTTTAGAGAACTATAAAATTGCAACAGTTAGAATGACATAGTTATGCTTATCACAATATGGAAAGATTAAATAACAGGGTATGTGGCTTTGTTAACTGCTTTTTCTAACAGCTGTGATTTTGGAGAGTTTCACAATTCATAGTTGAAAATTTTACAGTAAATTGAAAAAGACTGGAAATTAATTTTGCACTTTTGCACTGCATGTTGCGCTTTTGGTAATCAGTTCTCTGTATCTCTTCATTTTTGCATACATCCTATTCTGAAAATTTTCCTTAAGAGTTAGGGAAGTTGAGATTAATGAAAGTTAATTATTTATTTAAATTATCTTTTAGGTGGCTTGAGAACCAATTAGTGATTCTGTATATAATCTACAGGTATATATCACAGATTGAGTGAAATAACTGGAATTTTTCTGTTCTTGTTGTTTTACAAAAATACACCGGGAACTCAAGAAATCGGGTCTTAAAAGTCTGAACAAAGCTGGATCCAGAGCATCTTCTCACAAACAATCAAGTAATGTGATGAATAAAACACAAAGATGGTGATCTGGTGACGGGCAAAAGAACGAGTAAGTAACTGCAGTTCCTAGAGAAGGCTCCAGACTGCCAGCTTGTGGTGAATATAGCAGAACTGGTGTGGTGATAGTCTAAGGATACAGATTTTCCATGAAGGTTGCAATCTGAGGTGTAAGTATGTGAAAGAACTTAGTTGTTTAGGAAGACAGATAGTTGGGAAAATCTGCAAGGCATCCTGACAGGAAGAGCCCAAAACTTCCATTATTTAACTTCAGAAGAGTAATTCTTTTCTTTGATTTTTCCTCCATTTATGCATTTACAATCCTGTTATCTGTTTCAGATATTGTGAATAAACATCTTTATTTGCATGGTTAACTGAACCTGACATGAATTAAAAGTGATATGATATTAAATTAATATAAAAAAGTAATTTCTCACTCTAGTCCCTCCCTGGAGCAAACTGCAAGTATCTGACTCTCCATTATGTTTTGTAGGATAGTGGAAAGCCAGGAGACCATGCTTCCAAGAAAATTGTTTGGGTTCTCTGGAAAAAAGCTATTACAGGTTCAGAGAGGAAAGAAACATCACTTTTATAGCTGTAAGTAGCCATCTCTCTGTCATTCTCAGTACTGGGATATACCTTGAACTTGGAAGGCTCTCAGGGAGGCTATAGCCAGAACCTAAGACCAGTTGGAAACTAAATTAAATTCTTATATCCTGTCCTGTGACAAAACTTAAAGTATGTCTTAAATACACCTATTTCAATATTATGTTATTAGCCAGATGTAGATGTTTAGTGCTGCAGAGTTTTGTGTGTTGTGGTCCCAGGGTCTCTCCAGTCACTGGGCTGTTCATATTAATCTAGTTTTATTGCTTCCTTCTGTAGTGATAAATTGATGTAGTTCTGTCTTTCTATATTTGTATACATTTGGAAACACTGAATATTGATAATAACAGTGCAGTTAGTAGTGCTGATGCCGTTACCTTGTTTTAGCAAAATTGAGCAGTTAATATTTATCTCCAAATCTGCTCTACTATGTTTATTTTCACTCAAACCTTTAGTTTCACCTCTAGTAACTTCTGCATTGATAACACATTTTCTGTATGAAGTCAAGTAGACTAAAACTACATTAAGAGATAACAGTTCTTAAATAAAGCACGAAGAATTGCAGATTTTCATATGCACTAAGGTAATACATTTAATAAAATTATCTCCTTTCCTCCTTGTATAGACTCCAGCCTCTTCCAGGAACCTGTCCAGGCAATGTCAGCTTAATGATCAAAACCTTAACATAGAGGTCAAAAGTACTAAATCTGGATGTCCAATTTAGTATCTATCACAGAGAGTATGATTTCTAAGGACTTGTAACACAGGAAGGGACTTATATTCAGTATACATTCCCATTTATTTCAGTGAGTACTTGGCTATACTCGTCAGATCCAAGGTGTCAAGGTGGGTGCTCAGGAAATAAGGAACGAGCAATTACACAGTAGTTAGGAGCAAGCATTCACTGCCAAAATCATGGTGCCCTTGTGCATTTATATTAATTACCTCATTTGTTACAAACACAACTGTTTAATCTGTATCATCCTCACTCTGTAGCACATCAGAGGTGTCTGTCACTGATTTTTGGAGTTGAGCATATAATAGCACATTGACAGGATTTACTCATGCTTGCCCTTTATGTGGAGTGAGCATGGTGCTGGAGTATATCTTTCAGGAGTGGTCAGTTTGAACTTCCTATTCTAGCATTTCTGTTGGGCCTATGGAAATTTTGTCTACCTGATGAAGCCGTCAGTATCAGAACTGATTTACATATATATGTGTTTGGAAGTTCTCTTTATTAGGCAGCATCAGGCCTTGGCTGAGGCTATAGCAAGTCTGGGACAAACAAAGTTGTGTAGGGCTCATTACTACTTGTTAAATGATGCATAGAAGTTGGGTTTTTCTGTACAGAGGAAGCTACAGGCCATGTCGGTTGCTTTTGGTGGTTCAGGGTTTTTTGTGGATGTCATGTGTTGAGTCTTACTTCTGACTTATTTTTCACTTTACTTTTCCTTCCCAGATTTTGATGTCACATTCTTGTAGTCCCTCCCCATATAAACGCCGAGGCAAGGTTTTAATTCTGAATGAGCCGTCTGTTTTTTGATTTCTTCTGTGACAAATGACTAGGGATTCTAACAGTTGAACTTCCTCCATTGCAAACCATCTTAATCAGCTGCAGACCAGGTTTGTCCTCTAGAATGAATGAGGAAGAGGTAGTAAAGTAATTAAGACTGGATTTGGGTCTCATTACTAATTGATTTTTAACTTAATTATACTAAGGCTGAAGTATTAACTCATTGTAAACATTGGAGATTGCTTCTTAGAGATATGTGTTTGTGAGTGAGCTAACTAGGAAAAGAACTCTCAGAGCTTATACCTAATCTCATGTTACATTTGCAAGTTTTTAAACTGACACCGGAGGAGTTGAGAATAGCGAAGTCACTCTAAGCGTTTCAACAAATAAATAAACTTCATGTATAATTAAATGTTATGAAGGCAGTGAGCAACCTGTCTTTGCTTGGATGAATGCTGTGTAGAGAATCCTTTCCAGTGCAGAGGAAAGGATCAGGAAGTAGGCAAGGGAGACAGCGGCAATGTATTTGCATAATATTGTTTGCATGGGTTATGCTATCTTAAGAAGTTACTTCATTTATCACAAACTTGGGTATCTTCTGAAACCCAAACCTGATCAGGATTGTATTTCTCAAAAACCACAGATTGTATTTCTCAAAAATAATTGTGTATCAATACAGGTATGGAGCACACTTTGTTTTCTCTTGGTTATGGCTGCATTTGACAAAATTGTTCATTTCAAATAGGTCCTTTTTTTTGTGTTAACTTTCTATAAATTCTGTCTTATATCTGCTACTGAGATTTCCTCAGTGTGTCTTGCGAAAAAAGAGGTCAAAATCCAATGTAGATTGTTTAGCCACACTGTTTTGTAATTCTTTGCTGTGCAAGTATGATATTTTTAGAACTTTTTGCATAGCAATTACTGTTTTGTTTTTTGATTCCTAACCATTACCACTGACGTTGTCTTTGCCCATAACTTGGCTCAGTTAGTTATGCTGAATGAATTGACAGGCACTCCAATTCTAAACATGCAGCTGCTTTTGTAAGCTAACCTAATGATGGCTTAAAACTGGAGATGCTGAAGGGGCACTCCCAAATCCTGGATTTACTTTACTGCTGCCCTCTTGTGCTGGTAATCATTTTCATCTCATCATGCAGGGAGGCACTCCTGGGAGCTAAAGAGAAAACTGGTGATTTGTTTATGAAGGGGTTGTTCTGATGGTAGTTATCCTGTGGCAGGAATAGCTTCCCACAAAGACCTTTGCAGGGGGAGTTACTATGCAGAACATAATAAAGGTGCCAAACTGTAAACACTAGGATTTGAATAATTGATACTGAAGAGACAATGATGGAAGAGAAGCAGATTATTCTCTTGATTATGGCTCTGTCTACTCTTTTGGAAACAGCAATATCATTATACATGAGTGCCAATAATTCTGTTCCAAGGTTTTGTTCTTGATAAAATAGTCTTGAAACTAGTAGATGGTAGTTTTGCTGTTTGGCAGACCTACAGGTCATTACACAGGCAAGCTCTGTGCTTGTGTTGCAGCATGATGTAATTTGTGTGTGGTTTTTTGTTTTGTATTATTGAAGCATAGCTTACATATGTTTTCATGTATAGCCTAATCATGAAGTTTGTTTTTGCATCTTTGCAGTGTCCAGAGGAGTGAGGTCATTCCCCACCTTCCACCATGCAACAGTTATGAGCACATATTGTAGAGAGCATCTTAAAATTGCAAAATCCTAAAGGTACATGATGTTAAAGGATTCAGAATAGTGGATAAGTAAAGCAGGCAGTATTTGCTGTCAATTGTATATCTCAGCAAATTACTTGGTGTATCTCTCTGTCAGCAAGTGACAGGATACATACCTCTTCTTGCAGTAGGTGACTCCAAGCAGTAGCTCCAACAAATGCTTAAATGGAAATGGGATAAGGGCCTTTGCATAACAGCTTTACTACTTGAAGACCACTCTGTCAAATGATCTTCTAGCTTATCTATAGATAACATTCCATAGGACTGCTCAGCAGATGCAGCTTACAAAGGTATTTCTTTGCAAGCACCCTGATCAAGTTTGACTTCTGGTGGAGCTCCGATGATAAAACGTCTCTGGACCTTCATCAGTACCATAAAAGGCACTGACACAGCTCCCAGTCTGTTTTTAAACTTGTGTTTTGGTGAAGACTGTTAATTTGGATCGTTTGTTCTGAAGGGTCAGACTAAAGGGTCTTAACAATTCATAAACAAAGAACCACTTTGGCTGTGAGAATGAGAAAGATGATATGTGTAGGAAGTAAGAGTTACTGAGGCTGTAAGAAACAAAACATCCTTGATTCCATAACAGTTTGTGAACATACATTGTCATCATACAGCTAAAACATCCAGATCAGAGGAGTGAGAAGGAAAGTCCAGACAAATCTTCCTAACTACAGATCAAGGAATATATTCAGTAAACAAGTAGGAGTAAAATGGATACTTCTTTCATATATTTGAAGCTAAAAATTTGATCTTCCTTCTGGTCATCCAGGACTCAGTCTAGTATGATGTACCAGTCTTTCTTACAAGATATCAGTAATAACTAGAAGATGGATCAATGATCATGTGTATTTTCCTGTAAATACAAAAATTTGCAGATCACCCAGAAGATGCAGAGTGATCCTGCACCACCACCCAACAGACTGAAAATAAACAGCTGAAATTCTGTGAGCACACTGCTATAATATGTCTATTGATAAGATTACAACATCTTTTCCACAGTGAATGCCGTTCTGGCTTCCATGAGGTTTGGGAACAACCTTTCTTTTGTGAACTTGCAAAGTCATGCCTGAAAGTATTCTACCAGTGCCACATACCATCACTGATGAAGTAAGTGAGATCTAAAAGCATTCCCATGTAGGATGAGAGGACCATGGTCATGTTGTGTCATAGATGAGTGTGAAGGTGTAAATTGTATAATGGATAAGCCAAACTTGAAAACTTACTGGTGATACATTACCTTAGGGCATCATACGGAAATATCACATTCAAGGTTAGGCAGATTTGTCATCATGATAGGAAGAAGACCCACACGGGTATGTTATGGCAGTCCAAAACCTTTCTCGAAATGCAGATTGTTGCAGGTTCTAAGGAGCGAGCATGAGTTCTGATTCTTTCTGGTCTTTTCAGCAGATAGCTGTCTGGGCCAGGAGAGGGATACAAAGTTGCATCCAAAGTAGGTCATTACCTCTGCAAGTATTTATTGCTGCAGTGACTCTTGTGTTGACTTGTATTAATCTGTGAAACAAAGGTGATACACTTTAGAAACATAGAAATGTGTCTCATGAAGTTTGATTCTACAAGAAAACAGAGGAGGATGCTGGGGCAGATAAATAGCAATTGTGTTTCTTTATGTGGTTTTTCTTGCAGTGATTCTGTTGAGAATTTGACAACTAGTGGAGGTGAAAGCTGGTAGGCAGAAGATAGACCTTCTGTGAAGTTTTCCATGCAGAGTGAGTCAGCATTGGCAACTTGTTTAACAGTTTGATCCTGCCAGGTAGGGGTGTGAGGATTCTGAAGAACTGGGACTAAAGCCCCTTGCACATGTTGAACTGGTGTGAAAAACAGTGGTGAGTGGTCTGTTGCCATCAAGCTAGAGATCAGAGGGCTTATTTTTAGCTTGAAATTGAACCATATGCTAGTAGTATTGTATTCTTTTGAGTAACCACATCTCACTTGTGAGGTGGAAAAGATGAAGGTAGCAGATCTTTTAGGTTGTAGGCACATGTGCTGGGGACTGGACAGATGTCCCAGACAATACTACATACTGCTCTGTTTTGAAATACATAGGCTAATATACTAATAGTTAAAATGAAGAGATTGAGCATCCTGCTTTGGTAGCCTGTCATAAGGTCAATGAAATTATTTTGAAGTCTAAGATTCCTAATAGAGAGCTTTTTGTTGAGTGTGCCCTAATCTTTGTGCTGTTACTCTGAAATACCATATGAAGGAAAAACATGAGGTCTGTGTCCTAGCCTGGACACTCCAGAACAAAAACTCAACATACCACCTTCTTAATGAGAGTAATTGGAAGAATCTAGAAGAATGAGTTTAAATTACAGAAAAGTGGTCAAATGGTGGAAATACCAATGAGGAATACCCTGTTATCATAGGGATGCCTAAGGATGATGGAATGCTTAGTCCACCTGTCAGAAAAAAGAAACTGGAAAAAAGCCAGACTTGCTGTGTGTCAGACACATTAGAATGTGGACACCATCAAAGTTTCTGTGGCAAACTTGTCTCCACTTAAAAAAGTATTTGTACAGCTGCAAAGCAAATACACGTGAATTATTGCTTAAAAGATAAACTGGCATATTTTCATATCATAATCTTAATAGGTTTTTGACAACATTATTTCTATTCATTTTTATACTCTGCACACTAATGTACATGATAAGGTATGGTATGATATCCCTCTTTAATATGTTTCTATCACAGGTTGAATTCCAGTGCAACAACACTAACTTATATCAGCATGTTGTAAGACTTCTGAGACTGCTGACAGGATCACTAAAACAATTTAACTGGAGAGTAGTTCCTCACAGCCAAGTACACAAATGACCAGATGGCCTCCATAGTTTGTACAAACTTTCTTGTATTGGAAGCTGAAGGTACTTTATGTGTCTGTGCCTAAGGATTTATATCTACACTGAGCAAACTGCACAAGTGTTAGCTGCTTTAATAGCTTGTGTTTTGTTCAGAGATCAGTGTGCTAAATGGTCCCTGAGGAGGATAAAAAGAATTTGGAAAGTACTTTTCATATTCGACAAGATTTCCAGCCTAGTTGCTTAAACTCTCTGGACTTCAATTAACTTTCTACAAGTAATAACATATGTATCTATTTCTGATTCCCTAGTCATATATTAATTGTAGGACCTACTGGTTTTTGAGGCAAGGAAACCTCTTACTACTAGAGAAAACAAAAATGAATCGGTAAGTTGTTTTTCAGCAATTTAGCTGAGTGGATGCTAAATACTGATGGGTAAAAAGAATCACACCTACTCTCAATCACTTGTTTTTTACTATATGCTTGCTTTGGATGATCAACACAGGCAAGTGTTTGTGTTAGGCAGGGCCAGCTAAACCTTGTTTTCTAAGGATGTGGGTGCAGCTGCCTTGCAGAAATGTATTGCAGTAAAACCCTCCAGTTCTCAGATATGGCTGTAATGGCTGTCTAAAAATAATACCTAACAAAGGGTGTCCTTTGCAGGGGAAGCCAGAAATAACCTTCTTTTTCTCTGTCAAAATGTAAGGCTAATATCAGTACATCTACAAGCAGCAGTTTGACCCAGAGACCACGAAGGAGCTTACTTTCAGCATAAGGAATCTTGAGCTTGGACTTCACCCCCAAAGAGATAATAAATACCACTCGCTTCAACTTTCTAGCCTCGGTTTTGTAACGAGCCCCGTCCCGCCTCCATCCGTTCCCTGGCCCCCGCGCCGGGCCGTTCGAACGTTGTACCAGGGACGCTCGGCGGGTTCGGGCTCGGGCCCGGCCGGTCCAGGCGGGAGCGCAGCGGTCGTGGGACCGGCGCGTTCCCGCCCCGAGCGCGGCCGGTGCCGGCCGCGGCCGCGGGGAGCGGCGGCGCGCAAGGCCCCGCCCCGCGGCGGCGGGAGCGGCGGGGCTGGGCGGCGCCTGGCGCCCGCACGTCCCTTCCCTCCTCGCTCGCTCCCTCCCTCCCGCCCGCCTCTCCTCCTCCCCCCCGTCGGCGCAGCGCTGTGGTGAAGCCGCATTGTTTGTGCCGCGGGGGGAGGGGAGCCGCTCAGCCCCGGGAGCCGAGCGCCGAGCCCGCAGCCGGACAGCGACGCGCGCCGCGCCTCACGAATGCGCCGCGCCCGGCGGCAGCAGCAGCCCCGCACCCAGCGCCGGGTGACCGCCGCGGGCAGCGCGGCCCTCGTAGCGCCCGCTCGGCCGCCCGCGGCTGCCGGACGCGGGGCCAGGCGGCAGCACCGGCGGGGCCTCCGCCATTAACCCGGCCGAGCGTCGGCCGCAGCGGCGGAGCGGGAGGTCTGTCAGCCGCTCCTCGGCGGCTCCCACAGCGTGAGTACGGCCGGGTTGGGCGGCGGGGACCCGCGGGCGGGGGCTACGGGGCCGGGAGCCGGCGGGTCTCGCCGCAGCGGGACGGGAGAGCGGCACGGGGGCAAGAGCAGGGCGGACTGGGCACGGCAGCCCGCGGGGGAGGGCAGCGGCGGGCGGGCGGGGAGCGAGGCGAGCGCGGCGGTCTGGGGGAGGGAGGGAGGGCGCCGCTGGAGCTGTTTTGTCAGCCGCCATATTTGTGGGCCGAGTATTTTCGCGGCGGGAGGGAGTGACTGTTGGGAAGGGCTGGAGATGATGGGCCCGGGCAGGAACCATCCTGCCGGGGGCCGGGAGGGGGGAGCGCCGCGCCGGGCAGGAACCATCGGCGCGAGGGGAGGCAGCGCGCTGGAGGCTCCCTGGGCGTGGGCAGGAAGTGTTGGCGCGGCAGGGGCGGGCCGGGGGCGTGGGCAGCGCGCGCGGGAGGCAGGATTCCGGGATGCTGCGGGAGCTGGCGGCCCTGCGCTCTTTCCGCCGGGCCGGCACAGAACGGCTCTGGTGCTCCCGCGTGGCTTGGCCGTGCCCGCGCACCTTCGCTGGGCTCCGTGAGCCGCTCTGGGCCGTGCCCCGGGGAATCGCTCCTGCTGCGCGGCTGAAGCGGCGGGTGCTGTCCGCCCAGTGTGCGTGTAAGCACTGTTTGCTTACCGTCCCCCATTGTCTAGGACTGAAGAGTATTCCCGTGTCTTTCTCTTTTTAATGGTCTACACGAAAGTGCCATTGAGAGTGCAATTCCCTAGTCCATTGAGCAGGAATCCAGGGACTAAAGACAGCTATTTGAAGAGAAGGAAGGTAACTAGGGCAGAGATTGTAATTTAGAAGTATGTGGTACTGTACTTTTCGTGTTGATTTTAGCTATCCTACACCTTGATAAATAGATTTTTGTTGTTGTTGTTTTTACCTCACACCATGTATTTCACAGAAACGGCTATTTCCATGTACTTCTGTTTATGGGGAGGAAAAACGTCTGCTGGCGATTTCCTTCCCAAGTAGCTGATGCAATTTTAGGACATAAGAGCTGTGGATAACTTCCCTGGTTTATATCCCGCAGTCTTTGTGGCCAGGACAGTGCTAACAGAGGTGCATTAAAATAATTTTGTGTGCAGTTAGTGCAGTATCTTTGTGGTCATTGAATGGAAACTTGTCCTAGTTTACACTTCTAATTTACATCTTAGTCCTCATTCCTATTGATCTACAGGATACTGGGAAGAGGGGTGGGAGTAGAAGGGAGAAATGCCAGCTAATAATTGCCTAGGAAAAGCAAACCAGTTGTGGGTCATGAATTTGCTGTGCAGAACTCTGGTCTTCATCCGGAGTATTTCTAGAACATTTGCAAACACAGAAGAATTTTGGAGAAACAAAACACTGCTTTGGCCTCTGGGGCATTTAAGTTTTTCACGCTAAATTTGCATGAAATTCAGCCTGAGTAATACCAGTTTTGATTCTGTGTGCATTACATTGTATTTTTAGGGTATCCATTCTATGTTTGAGAGTGTAACTTCCTACCTAAGTCTGCTGTATTTACTGTTGAGTATTACAATATACTTAGGTGTTAGCTCAATATTTTTTTTATCAGTCTGGTTTGTACAATTCACTTGACTTTTGCAACAGCTGTCCTAAATCTTTAAGCAAGATTAAAGATCTTGTGCTTTTGAGTATTTTCTTCCTATTTTTAATTCCTGCCTGAAGCCATACTTGAGAATCTTGGGAACAGAGTGGAGTGGAGAGCTTGGAAACATAGCATTAATGTGTTTTTCTGTGGTACTGGGCTAAGGTAATATGGACAAGTTACACATGTGTTTGATTTCTGAAGGTCACCTCTCATCCCTCCCTCTGCATATTCTCTGAAACAGTCTTTATCCTCAGGAGCCACTACTAACAGATAGACAACCAGCTAAAACATAGGAAGGGACATTAAAAATACCAAAGCAGGCTTTTGCATCTAGACAGAATTGAAATGCAATTATATGAGGTAAACATGCTGTAAACCATGTTTCTTGATTGACAAGTAAACTGAGTCCGTTCTGATCTGTAAAAAGTTGCTGTGCATGGACACATTAGTGCGTTTTAGCTGAAGAATCCATCATTAATTGTTCACAATAACAGAAATCAGGGCCATTGTAATACATTTCATTTATGAAATCTGTATTGAAACTGGGAATTAATTTTTAGTTTTGGTTAAATTCCTGGTATGTTTTAGTGGTCAGACCTTCTTTGGCAGTCAGTATTAGTTGTTTAAACTGTTTTCCGCGGTTAAGAAACTAATATGATTGAATCCTGTGTTGTTTTAGAGAATTTAATTATTAAAGGCTTCTTTCAAAGTTGTTCGAAGAAATGGAGCATTTTGTATTTTTCTGTGGTTTATAAAGAGCAAAGATCTGTTATGATTAAACACTGACTGTTTTCTGGCTGTATGGTACTGAAACAAGTAGTAAGGGTTAAGAATGAGTTGTGCAAAAATTATGAGAAGCACAATTCTCATGTTAATAATAACACTAGCTTAGATTATGAAAACAGATTCTGTTTCTGAGAGCAGACAGATCAGAGCCTTTTGGGAACAAGTCTTAGGGTTAGTTGCCTGAGTGATCTAGTAGTCTTCCTGTGAAAGGAATTCCTCCAGTACTTTGAGACCTTTAGAAATTGGCATCTTAGACTTAAGCAAAAGGAGCAAGCCAGCATGGAGTAATTCATGCAGTTAGTTGTTCAGTGCTTGCTGTTTTCTTCCTGAAACAGGTATACTGGTCATTCACAGTAGTTGTGTTTTGATTTCTCTATTTCTCTACTATTTTGGCAATACATGCTAACACTAGTTGCGTTATAGTGAGCAGCCCTGACCCAAAATGCGGAGTTGAAATGGTGAGGCTCTAATAACACTTTAGGCAGCGATTAAAGATCAAGGGTTTTTTATGTAGCTGATGTTGAATGATGCTATTTATTAATGATTTATTTAGAAGAAGGAAGGAGTGGAATAGAATTTTAGACTTGACAATGTCAGTCAGGTTTATAATATTTTCAACCCTTACAGGAGAAAAGCCCCACCCAGTGTGAAGATGTCAAAAGACATGAGTATATATGGACACTTCTAACTTAGAAGTTTTGTGACCATCCTAGTCATGGGGCTTTGGAGTGGGGGAGAGAAAGCTATATTTTTGTATGGTATGTGATTTTTTGCAGTAGGTTGTAAACTTAAAAATGGTTTTAAAGAGCTTGGGACTGCATCTATAAATAAGAAGATTTGTATCTATCAGCAGTTGATTTGAGAACAGCTCCTGAAGATTCTGTTGAAGGAGAAGGCTGTGTGTACTTAAAAGCAGGGAACATGTTTTGGCTCTAAGTCAAATCTGCTTTACAGGTGAAATATTTACTAGTTGCAGTCCATAATGCACCACATTGGGCACTAAGAGTTCTGTCATGTTCTTGTCATGTTGTGAAGAATAATGGGCTCACTAAGGATTGAGGAAAGTAAAAAAAAGTATATCGCTGTCAAATTGCCCACTTGCCAAATGTGGAAGTTTGTGTGCTTTTCTAATTTTTAAATATAGCTATTGTAGTTGAAATGATAACATGAGAGTGTTTCAAATTGCACGGGAAAAAATTCAGAGAAAACTCTTATTTCTTTCACAATTGCATTAATATTTTTGAGGAGAGGTCTAGAGGACATAATCTGTAACTTACAAAAATTTTCAAACTGCTGGCACCCCTAAGGTGTTAAGTATTGTATTAAAGGTTTTCTTACCAGGTAACAAATGCATTTTTATTTAATCTGTGACACTTATGAAATGTTTTTGTTCTCATGCAGTGGTCTTGCCAACAGTGCTTCTAGAGGGTTTCTAGCAAGGATTTTGTATAACTGCTTACTCAGAGAAGCTGTTATTGAGAAGATCTATTGATCTTCAGGTTAAACTTGTACAAAACTGAGCAATCATATTGAGTAAGAGTGACAGGCTTTTGGTTTTGTTTACTTTTAGTTAAATATATGCATAGAGGGCTGTAGAACTGACGTTTTTTTCACTTACTACAGTAAAACTAATATTTCAATACGATTATTTGGAGTTCATAATATTAACTGTTGCTCTGATTTTAGGTAAACATTACCAAATGAGGAGAAAAGGAAGATGCCATCGAGTATCGGCAGCAAGGCATTCTTCTTCCCCATGCAGTATTAAGCACTCCCCAACACGAGAAACCTTGACATATGCTCAAGCTCAAAGGATGGTTGAAATAGAAATTGAAGGTCGCCTGCATAGGATCAGTATCTTTGATCCTTTAGAAATTATATTAGAAGATGATCTTACTGCCCAGGAGATGAGTGAATGCAACAGCAATAAAGAAAATAGTGAAAGACCACCAGTTTGTCTAAGAAGCAAACGCCATAAAAATAACAAAGTGAAAAAGAAAAATGAAGCTCTTCCGAGCTCACATGGTGTACCTGCTACAACAGCTCCGCTTCCAGAACCAAAAGTACGGATTGTTGAATACAGTCCCCCTTCGGCTCCTCGGAGACCTCCCATTTACTACAAATTCATTGAGAAGTCAGCAGAAGAACTTGATAATGAAGTTGAGTATGACATGGATGAAGAAGATTATGCGTGGTTAGAATTGATAAATGATAAGCGGAAAAGTGATGGAGTGTCAGTTGTTTCCCAAAATATGTTTGAATTCCTTATGGATAGGTTTGAAAAAGAGTCTTATTGTGAGAACCAAAAACAGGGTGATCATCAGTCTTTAATTGATGAAGATGCAGTGTGTTGTATATGCATGGATGGTGAATGTCAGAATAGCAATGTGATCCTGTTTTGTGATATGTGTAATTTAGCAGTACATCAGGAATGCTATGGGGTGCCATATATACCCGAGGGCCAGTGGCTCTGCAGACACTGTTTGCAGTCCCGCTCTCGGCCTGTAGACTGTGTGCTGTGCCCAAACAAGGGAGGTGCCTTTAAAAAGACAGATGATGATCGTTGGGGACACGTGGTGTGTGCTCTGTGGATTCCAGAAGTTGGATTTGCCAATACGGTTTTTATTGAGCCAATTGATGGTGTCAGGAACATTCCCCCAGCCAGATGGAAGTTAACATGCTACCTCTGTAAACAGAAAGGTGTTGGTGCCTGCATCCAGTGCCACAAAGCAAACTGCTATACTGCATTCCATGTGACGTGTGCTCAAAAGGCTGGTCTATATATGAAAATGGAACCTGTGAAAGAACTAACTGGCAGTGGAACAACGTTCTCTGTGAAAAAGACTGCCTATTGCGATGTACATACTCCACCAGGTTGCACACGGAGACCGCTCAATATTTATGGAGAAGCTGAAATCAAAAACGGTGTTTGTAGAAAGGAGGGATCAGTCAGAACTGCTAGGTCTACATCAAAAATCAGGAAAAAGACAAAAAAAGCCAAGAAAGCAGTGGCTGAACCCTGTACAGTTATGCCAACAGTATCTGCTCCTTATATCCCCCCTCAGAGGTAAGCAAACCATCAAAATGTGAGAAACCTTTATTTAATCTATTTAATTTTCAACAAGTGCTTTTAGATGACATCTTGAAGTTTTTGTACATTTTTTTACCTACTTTCTTTAAAGACCTTTTTCAGAGGACTACTCTTAATTATGTGCATTGTGCTTCTTTAGAGTTGCATTATAAATGCAGTAACTTCCTCAGAGAAATTACTAAGTGATCAGGTGATCTGTCTTGTCCTCAAAACATTTGGTTTGCGTTTTTTAGTTTGGGTCAGACTAAGTTATGTTGTATGTTCATTTGTCATTCACTGTACTTCTAAGAATTAACCACTGATTTTGGAATAGTAGCTGCAGTTGTTCTTCATATTAAGGAAAGAAGCCAGGCTCAAAGTTAACTTTATTTGTAATTTTGGATTCTGAGCTTCTTTTTCTAATTTTAAGAGATCCAAAATTAAAATTACAATTGTCTATGTAAGTTTTAAATCTTGTTAATCTCACATAAATTAAGAATAAACTTGTTGTGTAATATCTATGTAAGTTTTACAAAAAACCTTCAAGGATGTGTTTTCATTGTGTAGCAGAATAACTTCTCCAGAGGTGTTTCATAAATTTATGTTTGTATGTTTACAACAGCAATATATTTGTTTACTTCTTGATCTAAATTCTTACTAATTTAAGAGCAGTAGTTTGGAAGGTTTCTCAAACAAGCACCAGTTCCGTGTCCAGGCTCATTTCCTGTCCTGTGACCGGACTCTGAATGCACAGAAGTGAGGGCTTTTAATATAATATGATGCCTTTTAAATAGCTGACTCACAAGTCTCAGGTAGTGAGCAATTTAAGCTGATTAAATTAATCTAAATAAATACATGTTTAGAGACTGCAGTTCTTTCCTGTAGTAGTTTTTGTTAATGTAAGAAGCTACTTAGTGACTGACTTCGACAAACAGCCTTCAGCTCCCATGTGATGTTTACAAACTACTGATTGATTACTCTGTTCTGTGTTAGGATTGGCTTTGTAAAATAATTTTTTTGTTTAGTGGTGCACTGTAGAAAAACTTTAGTTGACAGTAGGCAACTAATACTGCTGTTTAAACAGGAACTACTGTCCATGGAAGGGGAAAGTTGGTGTAAAATAATTCGGGTTTGTCTTAATTAGGACAATCCCAATTGATAGTGTAGTGTGCTTTTGTTTTGCTTTTTTTAGGACACTGTAAGAAAGAACATGAACTAAGAGTTGAAGATTAGAAAGTATGTTCTCAGTTGTGCCTCTGGCAGCTCATTCCATTGGCAATTTTTAAAAAAGCCAGACCCTAAAAAGATGCTATCATCGGATGGCTTCTTTTTCAAATAGTCATTAGATGCCAGGACAAAAATACGAAGACATTTTATTCTTCCTTTTTTTTTTCATGTTAATGATTGACTTTCTTTTCAAGACTACAGAGAAATTCAGCTTTCTTCTATTTATGCATTTCTTCATATTTCTAGAAACAAGTGTACTTCCTATACTGTATGTCATAGGTCTAAAAAGTGCACAATTTAAAGGTATTTTAAAGTTGAGCTTTATTATAAATTGCTTGTCTTTGGCTGAGGGGGACACTTGCCTAAGTGCTCTTTGTAATGTGAACATGTTCTGTCCTAAAAAACTGATCCCTGAATTAAAAGTGAAACAAATGAGCATATTAAAAGGAGTAGTGATTGCATAAGATAGGAGACTGCAGACCCAAATCTCTAGTTTTAGAAATAAAGTTGTCAAGTTTTCTTTGGTTGTTCTTCAATTTTTGTCTGTTTAGGAAACATTCTTGTGTTTCTGTAGGAATTAAGTACATACCCATAAAGTACTAAAAAGTTATTTGGATCATTTCGCAGTAGTCTTCATTTATATTATTCTTTTCTCTCATCTGTTTTTTAAATACTCGGTTTTTTTACTCTTTTTTTACCCTTAGAGCTGAAGTATGGTTTTTCAGAGGAAAAGCAAATAAGCTATTTCAGTTACTAGAGAATAAATATATACACTCAGTGTTTAAACACTAGTGCTTTTTTATCTGAGGAATTTAATTTTAGTATGTTTTCAACATCTATGGAAATAGAGGCACAAGTAGAGATGCTTGGTTTAGATTGCTTTCCTGATACCTAGGCTGTATGTCTCCTCAGCATATTGCTTGCTCTTCAGAGTTTGTAGTTGGAAGAGTGTACAAATATGAGGAAAGTACGTGCTGGATGCAGCCCCTGAGTACATCTAGTGAAGCTTGAGGAAAACCATCTTGCAATTTATGTTCAGTTTAAGGAGAAGGATTTGTATCTTTTCTGGATAGTGAGAGTATACGAACAACTGAGCATTTTAGTAACACAGTTTTTAGTAATTCTATTTTCTAAAACAATTCAGGATATTCTAAAGATTGGGTGTAAAACAGCATACCTCATAATTTCTACACAACTTTTATAGCTTATGAATTTCTGGATCAGCTTTCCTTAGGTCCGGTTTCTATGCTACTGCCTTGAATTACTTCGACCAGAATTTCTTACACAGGTGTCACACTCTAAGCTTTTTGCAGTTAAATTATATACATAGTGTCATTCTCTAGGTCATTTATAATCTAATGGCATGGTCTCTCAGACTTTCGTCTATGAACTACTGATTTAGGGGTGCAGATCTAAGTTACTAACCACTGATGATAGGTAATAAACGCTTACCTCCCCTGCCTCCTTTTTTCTCTTTTTTGGTAATTTATTTTTAATGATGGGCCTATATCTGTCCTGTTGCCTAGGTATTTTAGAAAGTCTATACCTGAGTATCTACTTCCAAAGGTGCGGTAGTTCATCTTGGAGCCTTAAGGTGGTTTCATTTTTCAGTGCTGTCAATGCTGACTTGTAACTTGCTTAGCACTTGTAATAATGTATGGGACTACCAGGGAACTCTTATGCATGGAGGTATGGGACTACCAGGGAACTCTTATGCATGGAGGATGTATGTGAGACCTGGCTATAGAGATGTGTTGTTTCTTTACTTGGAAATTCCATTCAGTTCTTATTGAAATACCAACCTTGAACATAGTGGCTTACACTGTTCATACTCTAGCACTTTTTTTTGCCTGTTTTTGGTGGGCTTTTTCATTTGTTTGTTTGTTGTTTTTTTTGTG